AACGCGCGAGGGACAAAATGCGGGCACTTCAACTTTGAATTTCGGGGGGGAGGGGGGCGAGTCAAATGTATATTGCACTTGTTGTTGCCATCATGTCTGGCTGCCTTCTCGCCGTCAGCGTGGGGACTTTTTGTCCGGGCACCGTCCCTGTGGGGCCACGAAACGTGTGAAGGGTGTGCCGAAATGGGTGGTGGGGAGGCATGCGAACCCTGCCACTGGGGCCTTCGGTGGAGCTCCCCATGGGGCCACGAAGCGTGTGAGGGGTGTGCCGAAATGGGTGGTGGGGAGGCGTGCGAACCCTGCCACTGGGGCCTTCGGTGGAGCTCCCTATGGGGCCACGAAACGTGTGAGGGGTGTGCCGAATGGGTGGTGGGGAGGCATGCGAACGCTGCCACTGGGGCCTTCGGTGGAGCTCCCTATGGGGCCACGAAACGTGTGAGGGGTGTGCCGAAATGGTGGTGGGGAGGCATGCGAACCCTGCCACTGGGGCCTTCGGTGGAGCTCCCTATGGGGCCACGAAACGTGTGAGGGGTGTGCCGAAATGGGTGGTGGGGAGGCATGCGAACCCTGCCACTGGGGCCTTCGGTGGAGCTCCCTATGGGGCCACGAAACGTGTGAGGGGTGTGCCGAATGGGTGGTGGGGAGGCATGCGAACCCTGCCACTGGGGCCTTCGGTGGAGCTCCCTATGGGGCCACGAAACGTGTGAGGGGTGTGCCGAAATGGGTGGTGGGGAGGCATGCGAACCCTGCCACTGGGGCCTTCGGTGGAGCTCCCTATGGGGCCACGAAACGTGTGAGGGGTGTGCCGAAATGGGTGGTGGGGAGGCATGCGAACCCTGCCACTGGGGCCTTCGGTGGAGCTCCCTATGGGGCCACGAAACGTGTGAGGGGTGTGCCGAAATGGGTGGTGTGCGTGAGGGGTGTGCCGAAATGGGTGGTGGGGAGGCAACCCTGCCACTGGGGCCTTCGGTGGAGCTCCCTATGGGGCCACGAAGCGTGTGAGGGGTGTGCCGAGATGGGTGGTGAGGAGGCACGCGAACCCTGCCACTGGGGCCTTCGGTGGAGCTCCCTATGGGGCCACGAAACGTGTGAGGGGTGTGCCGAAATGGGTGGTGGAGACGCATGCGAACCCTGCCACTGGGGCCTTCGGTGGAGCTCCTATGTGACCACGAAACGTGTGAAAGGGGTGTGCCGAGATGGGTGGCGGGGAGGCATGCGAACCCTGCCACTGGGGCCTTCGGTGGACCTCCCTATGGGGCCACGAAACGTGTGAGGGGTGTGCCGAGATGGGTGGCGGGGAGGCATGCGAACCCTAAGAGGGAGGAGGGCGAGGAGGAGGGGGAGGAGGAGGAGGAGGAGAGGAGGAGAGGAACGCGGGGCACCGTCTCTTCAAAACGAGGACCCAACACCACAGGATGGTTGGGAAAAAAAAAACAGAAAGAGAGTGAGAGAGAGAGAGAGAGAGAGAGAGAAAAAAAAAAAAGAGAGAGAGAAAGAGAGAGAGAGAGAGAGAGAGAGAAAAAAAAAAGAGAGAGAGAGAGAGAGAGAGAGAGAGAGAGAGAGGGAGAAGCAATGGATGGACGGAGATAGCGGGGGACAGCAGAGAGCGAGAAGAGGAGGGCGTCGACGCGCGCCTGCGGGGAGACGGAAAGCGCAGCCCCCCACCGACGACGAAATACGACGTGAGAGAATCAGAGAGACAACCTTGAGAATGGGGAACATGTCGAGAGACAATTCAGGCTCAAACTCAAGTTGTATCAAGATCGAAGTTCTGATAACAACTGATCAACTAGACAACGTGAAACGTCTCACGTGAGCCAGTCCAGGCCGCAAAAAAGTACGACGAGCATCAAACTATGTGTCAAATATGTGATGCCGACATCAAAATAGGAGTCACGGGGATGATGCTTTGCGTAAGTCGTACACTGACACCTCCCCATGAAAGTAAACTATACGGTATCAAGTTCGATGAGATGGCTGGGAGACAACGTACTGATAACACACCGTCCCATCATGTGAAGTTATTGCGCCCTCCTTCGACTAGCGCTGCAAAACTCAAAATGGGCGACGATATCGGTCACATCACCTGAAGCAACTGCGCCGTCTTTCGCGTGGCGTAGCACAAGCACAACTCAGAATGTGCACGAAAGCAACGGTGGTCACATGGCCCGGAGGGCAAAGCAAAAACGGCGGATAACATGTGAGGGGAATGCGCGACCAAAACAGCCAGTCAGCGTTATACCCACCCCCTGCGGAATGGTGCCTGCGCAGGGCAGTTGACCACAGGACGCTCCACAGAGACGCGTGCGCCTTGAGGGTAACGCACATACAAGTGAAAGGACAAGACAACTGCGGGTGCTCCCGCCGGCCTGGCCTGAGACATCTTCCACGCAAAAGGGTTCCAAAACGGCCCAAGATGGCCCCAAAACGGCCCCAGAAACCCCCAAAACGGCCCAAAGGGGCCCCAGGACGGCCCCAAGAGGAGGCCCCGAGGGGGAACCCGAATGGACATTTCGAGCAGTCGGCCCAAGAAAAACCGGAGGAGGCGCCAAGGAGGGCCCCAAGCCGCTCGCTCCTACGAGGCCCCGAGAGGCCCCCAAAAGGCCTCGACACAGTTCCCAAGAGGCGTCCAAAATGCTGTCAGGAAAGCCCAGAAAACCCAAGAGCAAACCCGCGATCCGCCAACCGCCCCCCGCGAAATCCCAAGAAGGTGAAACCCCAAGAAAATGTCCCTAGAAATCGCGCGCGCTCCACAACCTCCACGTTCCACTCTTACTTCCGCCCCAAGGGGCCGGCGGCGCGGCGCCAGCCGATGAGTCACCAGGCGCAAGCGAGCCGAAGCAGGCGCAGGCGCCGGTCGGGCTTCGGGCGGGGCGCGTTCGGGACGAATTAAGTGAAGCACTGAAAGCGGGATGCAAGGCAAGGCGAACAACTCGAAGGTTTGCGCGGGCTCCCCCGATCGGCGCTGGGGCCCCCGGGGCGGCGCCTCCGCTCCGCGCGCCAGGAAGGGGGTCCAGCTCCGATTCGAGGAGCCCGCGCGGACCTTAGAATTGTTATGCTTACGTCAGTGTTTGCTCCTCTAGAAGAGGGGGGGAAGGAAGATCTGGAGCGACCCTGGAAGAACAATGCCTCTTTCGCCAACTGCACCCTGATTCCACAACAGAGCCGCAAGAACATGCCGGAACTGTGCTGTAACGGCCCGCTTCACCGTCCTTCCAACGCTCTGGCGTGCACGGCGCTTTTCTTTCATAATTCATATTGTTACCTAACAACGAAGACTGATAGGTTTCTAATGAGGTCAAAAGAGAACATCTGATGACTCCCCAGGGGGGTCTGGGCGGGAGCCGGACAGGCGAGGGCTGGGCTCGCTTTAAGCAAACAGTCGCACACTTCGTGCTCTCCGACCTCCCAGAACTCCATTCCCGGGCCACATTTTGAATGCCCGGAACCAACTGTACGCCACTTCGTGCTCTTCGACTTCCCAGAACTCCATTCCCGGGCCACATTCTGAATGCCCGGAGCCAACTGTAGGCCTTTTCGTGCTCTTCCACTTCCCAGAACTTTATTCCCGGGCCACATTTTGGATGCCCGGAGCCAACTGTACGCCACTTCGTGCTCTTGGACTTCCCAGAACACAATTCCCGGGCCACATTTTGAATGCCCGGAGCCAACTGTAGGCCACTTCGTGCTCTTCCACTTCCCAGAACTTCGCTCCCGGGCCACATCTTGAATGCCCGGAGCCAACTGTACGCCACTTCGTGCTCTTCCACTTCCCAGACTTCCAAGACTCATCATCTTCATCATCATCATCGTCCCCGTAGCCTTCTTGGCTACAGCCCTGCTTTCGAAGATTTCCTTTCAAAGGAACTGCGCAGCGCCTACTGCACACCTTAATGCCAGGACATGCTGATAGTTCTCGGTCTGGCGGCGGTGCTCCTGACCCTGATGCATTGAACAGCGGTGCTCCTCAGGCTGCGGCAGGGAACAGCGCTGCTCCTCAGCGTGCTGCATTGAGCGGTCCTCTGCAAACGCTCGTCGAGCACGTGAAGCAGTTCGGCCGGATACCGAAGCGAATTAAAGGAACGTCCGAACAAGAACGGGCCGAAAACAAGTTGGCCAAACGTTTCTCGGACCATCGCGACCGCATCCCCAAAGACATTTTGCATGAACTGCGGGCCCTACTCGTTCACTCCACACACTACAACTACTACTTCACTGTTACCACTACGACCATCACTACTACTTCTACTGCTACTACTATTGTTACTATATTTGCTGCTGCTGCTGTTGCTGCTGCTGCTGCTAGTGTAGCTAGTGCTACTGCAACTACTGGCAATGCCACTGCGACTGCCGCTGATGTTGCCACTGCGACTACCACTGCGAATCCGAATGCGACTGCGAGAACACCAGGCAATGTTTCCAGCTATGCTTCTACACATCGCTGTTAGGTTGTTTTGCCGGGATAATTGTGTTGTATCTCTCTACTTATATGTATATGTATGTCTAGGTATAGCTGTGTTGTTGCTGTTATTGTTGTTGTTGGTGTTGCTGTTGCTGTTGTTGTTGGTGCTGTATGTGTTAGTGCTGTTGTTGCTGTTGTTGCTGCTGCTGTTGTTGATGAGGTTGGTGTTGTTGGCGTTGCTGTTTGTGTTTTTGTTGTCGTTGTTATTGCTGCTGTTTGTGTGTTTGATGTTGTTGTTGCTGCTGCTGTTGCTGTTGTTGTTGCTGCTGTTGGTGTTGGTGTTGTTGTTATTATTATTATTGTTGTTGTCGTTGTTGTTGTTATTGTTGCTGCTGTTGTCGTTGGTGTTGCTGCTGTTGTTGTTGGTGGTGGTGGTGTTGGTGTTGCTGTTGGTGCTGTTGTTGTTGTTGTTGTTGTTGTTGTTGTTGTTGTTGTTGTTGTTGTTGTTGTTGTTGTTGTTGTTGTTGTTGTTTGTTTCCTCTCTATGTTTATATGATTATATGTGTGTATATATATATACTCCCCCTGGTTGAGGGGCCTCGATGCCCACGGCGACGCCCATTGGGTTGTGGAAGCTGCAGCCGAGGCCCTTGCCATCGGCGTAGCCGGCCCAACCGCTGCCGGCCAGCGTGGTGACCTGCCCGTCCTGGGAGGCGGGCGGCGGAGGAAGACGGAGAGCGGATAGTGACGAAGGGGCACGAAAAGGATAATGAAAAGGAGGAGGAGGAAAAGGAGGGGGAGAAGGGGGGGAGGAGGGGGGAGCAGGAGGAGGAGGAGGAGATCAATGACGGAGGAGGAGGAGGGCATTAGGGTATTAGGGCATTAGGGCCTTAGACGAAAGTCTCTCGCATCCAGCGACCCGATTACTTAGTAATCGGGCTCTTCTTCGGACTCTTCACTCCTGCCAGCCTGGAGCCGAGCCTCTTCTTCGAGACGCCTCTCAGCTCGGCAAAACACAACCGCCTCATGGGGGTCGCTGAAGCCGTGCAACTGCGCCACTCGATACATATCAAGGGCCTCGGGGAAAACCAACCCGTACACTGGGGCAGGGTCGCTACTCCGCTCCGAGGCCTCTTGAGGAATCTCCAGCCTCCCTTCCCACAACGCTCGGACCTCCTCAGAAGGCTCAGCACAGTCGCCGAGCATCGGGGGAGGGGACACCGTTGAATTAGGGTGCAGGCCTCTTCGGAGCCTAGACCTTTGGGTCGGAGGAGGAGGAGGAGGAGAAAGAGGAGGAGGACGAGGGGTAGGGGGAGGAGAAGGAGACGGGAGCGGGTCTTGAACGATTGAGCTCAACCTTATACCTGCTCCGCTGCTGCGCTGGAGGGGCGTGTGGGAGCTGCCGCAGGTCATCCCCTACTCCTGCTGCTGCTCATCCCCGCAAGCTAGGTCACCTAGCTTCGCGCATCGCGCCCCGCGATGCGCGACGCGCGATTCTCTTCGCGCCCTCGCGCCGCCGCCCTGGAGAAGAGCGCCTCTCCAGCCCAGGCCGCGACGCGCGAGGCGCGATTATCTTCGCGCGGGTGGGGGTGACCTAGGTAAGCCCCTCGGCCCTAGAAAGGAGTCCGAACACCAGATCTACCGTGGAAGTGCCCACTGACAGCTCCCCCCACAGGCAGCTCCCCCCATGTGCACGCGCGCGCGCCACGCATCGTCTCGGCCATTACCTGTCGTTGCGATCAGCATCACCACACGCACCACAACGACGTGATCAACAACATCATCATCATCATCATTACCACCGTCGCCACCATCATCGTCGATATCGGCCATGGACTTCAAAACGGAGAATCACCGTCACTGCCATCATTGTCAGCATAATCGCATTTTCACCGCTATCATCACCACCGCCACTACGACCGTGCCCACTGCGCGATGGTCGAAGAAATACTCGAGAAAGAGTGCGAATGCCGACTAGTGTCCTTCGTGATCTTGCGCAGCCTGTCGTTGCCACCCTCGGCGACTGTGGGCCGCTTGTGTCCGACAAGGCCCTCTGTGAATTCCGAATGATTTTCCTGCGGCTCAAAAGACCGTCAGGGGGAACGGGGCGCGGGGGAGGGAGAATGCGCACGGTGGGACAGCAACGGAGATGGCAGGAGGAGGAGGAGGAGGAAGAGGAAGAGGAGGAGAAAGGAGGAGGAGGAGGAGGAGGAGGAGAGAGGAGGAGGAGGAGGAGGAGAGAGGAGGAGAGAGAGGAGGAGGAGGAGGAGGAGGAGAGGAGGAGGGAGGAGGAGGAGGAGGAGGAGGAGGAGGAGGAGGAGGAGGAGGAGGAGGAGAGGAGGAGGAGGAGGAGGAGGAGGAGGAGAGGAGGAGGAGGAGGAGGAGGAGGAGGAGGAGGAGGAGGAGGAGGAGGAGGAGGAGGAGGAGGAGGAGGATTGGATTGGATTGGACACGTCGAGAGCAAGGCTGGGCCATCCAGCAACGAAGGTTGGAGAGCAAACCTTGCAACGCAAAGCGGCACAAGGTAGCCAGCCAAACAACATGCCAGAAGGACCCGACCTAGAGACAACAACCGCGATGAGTCCCATGCAGAGCAGCGCTACAAACCAGTTCCACTGGTTGTCGCCGCCAACCAGGCAGACGTCACCAGAAGAGTGCGCGACTGAGACTTAAAGGCCATGCGCACTAAGTCCGTGACGCACCAACTCCGTGACATTCAGTTTCCGCGCCACGGAGGGCTCATTTTTGACCGTCGGTCAGGTTTTTGACCGGCGATCGACAATAAACAGCCATTTGTTCTCGGCACTGGTCTCGACGCAAGGTCGTTCGGGCACAAGCTGTATGAGCGATTCAAACGTATCATCTGGGACGAGATCTAGAACAGAGCCGGAATTCAACGCTGAATGCTTCAGCCAGCGTTTGGCTCCAGACTAAAACGGGGGACCGCGCCAAACAAGATTGTCCAACCGTCTGGCGCGGAGGGAGGAGGGAGGAGGAGGGAGGAGGAGGGAGGAGGGAGGAGGGAGCAGGGAGCAGGGAGGAGCAGAAGGACAAGGAAGAGTTCGCTGACAACCACGCTGCGCCCACGAGAACTCCCCTCCCGCGAAACAAGGAGCCCGGCGCCGGGCCTCTAGGCCTCGGAGGCCGGCCTCCCGCGGGACGGTGCCCCCGCCCTCCTCTCGCGGGCAGCCGCGGCCCTCGAGGGGGCCCGTGTGGCCTGGGAGGGCATCGTTCCGCATCCGCGGGAGGTCCCCGTGGCCCTTCTTCCTGGGGGGGGACGGGGGCAGCTCCTTGATTGGATGGCGTGGGTCCTCCCTGTCTCCCTCTCTCTCTCTCTCCCCCTTATATATATATATATATATATACAGATCCTTCTGTACGAATGCATGCAAACACACACACACACACACACACACATCTAGCAACATATATATGTATATGAATAAATAAATACAGACATACACAAATACATATACGGGGATTTATGATATATATATATACAAATAAACATATATACATATATATACATATGTATGCACGCACACATTCTCTGTATTCGCCATGGTGCCCTGAGGCACGAGTTGGAGCGTCCTCGGGTTCATTCGAGCTCTCTGCATCAGGGCCGAGGGCCATACTGTCCATATCTTCTTGGCGCTCTTGGAATCGGTCGCATGGATTTCTAAAAGCAAAAGGGCCCCGGACAGCCCAAGATGGCCTCAAGACAGTCCAGTAAGCCTCCAAGACGGCCCAGTAGGGCCCAAGAGAGGCACAAGGGAGGCCCCAAAGGAACACGAACCGAGATATCGAGCCTTCGCCCCAAGATGGCACCCGCGACAGCCAGCAAGCCCCCCAAAGGCCCCCCATAAGTTCCAGGAAGCCTCCAAGAGGTCCAAATCAGACCCCAAGATGCCCAAAGAGACCCCCAAGAGACCCCGAGAGGCGCTCAAGACACCCTGAATATAAGTAGACTCTCTCTCTCTCTCGCTCTCCTTTTCTCTCATCCTCTCTGCTCTTTTTTTGGGGGGGTCTCTCTCTCTCTCTCTCTCTCTCTCTTTTTTCTCTCTCTCTCTCTCTCCCATGTTTTTTTTTGTTTTCTCTCTCTCTCTCTCTCCCCCTGTCTCTCTTGTACTCTATCTCTTCTCTTTTTTTGTTCCTCTCTCTCTCTCGTTATAAGTTATGTGTTTTGTTCCGTCTCTCTCTCTCTCTCTCATTTCGTTTTCATATCCAACCCATGCTGACTACTAGAAGGCATGTTGCCGAGGGCGTGCCGCTGGATCCCTCAAAGGAGGGGGGAGGGGGTCCGGACCCCCCCGCCTTTTCTCCCGGGTCCGTCGTCGGCGGATCCCCCCCCCCTCCCTTTCCCCATCCGTCGTCGGCGAACCCCCCCCCCCGCTTCCCGATCCGTCGCCGGCGGCGGACCCGCCCCCCCCCATTTCAAAAAGGGGGAGGAGTCTGGACCCCCCCGCGTCTTTCCCGGGGTCCGTCGTCGGCGGATCCCCCCCCCCCTCCCGTTCCCGATCCGTCGCCGGCGGCGGACCCGCCCCCCCCCCCATTTCAAAAGGGGGGGGGGGTCTGGATCCCCCCTCCCCGCTTTGAGCTCGAAATTCGGACTGCCCCCCTCCCTCCGTTTCGCCACGTTGTTCCCTGGCTCCAGAACCCAATCCCTACCACCCCTCATCCTAAACCTAACCCCTACCCTAAACCCTAACCCTAACCCTAACCCCTAACCCTACGCCTAGCCCTAAACCCCAATCCATAACCCTAACCCCTAACCCGAATCCCTACACCCTACCCCCACTCCTTACCCCAACACAGATCCCTACCCTAACCCCGAAGCCTAACTCCTACCCTGAGCCTAACCACTAACCCTAACCCCAACCCCTAACCCTAACCCTGAGCCTAACCCCTAACCCTAGTCCAAACCCCTACCCTAACCCCAACCCCTAAACCCTAACCACTAACCCGAACCCTAACCCTTAACCCTGACCCCTACCCTAACCCCGAACCCTAACCCCGAACACTAACCCTAAACCCTAACTCCAACCCCTAATCCTAACCCTAACCCCTACCCTAACCCTAACCCTAAGCCTAACCCCTACCCTAACCCCAAGCCTAACACCGAGCCCTCAACCTTAACCCCAACACTAACCCTAACACCGTACCCTTAACCCTAACCACTACCCCTAACCCTACCAATGCCCTAACCCTAACACTAACCCCTAACCCTAACCCCTAACCCTAATCGTAACCCCTAATCCTCACCCTAACCCTAACCCATAACCCGACCCCCTACCCTAATCCAAACCCGAACCCATGCCCCAACCCTAGACCCTACCCTAAACCCTAACCCTAACATCGAACCCTGAACCCTAACCTCTGACCCTAACCCCTAACCCTGGCCCTAAACGCTAACCCTAACCCCCACTCCCAACACTAACACATACCGCAACCCTAAACCTAACCCCTACCCTAATCCCTACCCGAACCCCTAACCCTAACCCGAACCCCCCTACCCCCCCTAGACCTAACCCCTACCCTAACCCTAAACCCTAGCCCCTACTGCTGCGATCGGTTGTTAGTGTGGCCCGTTGGGTGCTAATGTGGCCCGTTGGGTGTTAGTGTGTCCCGTCGCGCGGCCGGATGGGAGTAACTGTGGCCCGCCCTGGCCGTTCAATGTAAAGTAATGTGTAAAAGTATCTCACGTTAGATCTGGAGAGATTCGCAACCCGTCAGGGAATACATGTCCGCGCACAAAAAAGCGGCCACCGTAACTCCCACCTGGAACCAACGTAGTAGTAGTAGTAGTAGTAGTAGTAGTAGTAGTAGTAGTAGTAGTAGTAGTAGTAGTAGTAGTAGTAGTAGTAGTAGTAGTAGTAGTAGTAGTAGTAGTAGTAGTAGTAGTAGTAGTAGTAGTAGTAGTAGTAGTAGTAGTAGTAGTAGTAGTAGCAGTAGTAGTAGTAGTAGTAGTAGTAGTATTAGTAGTAGTAGTAGTAGTAGTAGTAGTAGTTGTAGTAGTAGTAGTTGTAGTAGTAGTAGTAGTAGTAGTAGTAGTAGTAGTAGTAGTAGTAGTAGTAGTAGTAGTAGTAGTAGTAGTGGTAGTTGTAGTTGTAGTCGTAGTAGTAGTAGTAGTAGTAGTAGTAGTAGTAGTAGTAGTAGTAGTAGTAGTAGTAGTAGTAGTAGTAGTAGTAG